CAAACTGAAGATCCTTCGACGCTGTTCACAGGCCGGCACTCAATCCACTGAGCCACACCAGCAGGGTGCATTACCTGATTTTTTAAAAGTTTATTAACTCTTCTCAGCTAAAACCCTCTATGTCTATCTACTTGTTCAGATTTTGTTTTATATATCTCAATAAGATTTTATTTTCCTTAAAAAGAATAGGTCCTATGCCTTTCTTATTAAATTTTTAAGAAGATAAAAGAAAAAAGGATTTTGCTAATTATTTTAAAGCTATATCCTATTGGCTGCTCTAAGAAGAATAAATTGGAGAAGGGCAATGGTCAATGACTTTACTTTTCATTTTGCCACTAGGCCAGATAATACAAAATAGCCCTCAAAGTATGTTTCTAAGGAACCAGTTTCCAAGAAAGAATATTTTTTAAAAATTAAAGCAACAGCGTAAACATTGTATAAAATAGCACATAGAGTCAGATTGAGGGAATCTGTGTGATAACATGTTTTCTTCTTTGTTTATTAAAAAAAAAAAAAAAAAAGGAGCCTCCCACTCTGTATAGAGAAAAGTCACAGAACAAAGCCAGATACAGAACCAGCTTAATCTCTGGTAAGGCCCCAGAATGACAAGATGCCAAACTAGTCAAAGGTTTGGAGCAGAGAGGCAGCCCTGGAGCATGGAGCATGTTCGGACAGCCCTAAGACTCCCCAAAGCTCTCTGCAGCTGCAAGCCAGCGGGGACAAGCTGGCACAGGGACTGGGAAGCTCGTTGGAACCAGGAACCTTGAGAATGAGTACAGCTGCATCAAAACAGGATCCAGAGGACATAGAGGGACAGGCTGGACCTCAAACACAAGTGAGTAGCGCAGGACTCTCTTGGGGTGGGAGGACATCTCCCTCATCACGAGCAGGCCCTATGGGTCACCCGTGCATGGCCACATCTGAAAGACACCTGTGTCTGATCATGCCAGAGAGTCATTTTTCCTCTACTGAGACCCAGCCACTTCCCTGGAGCTCTGCAAAGCACAGCCATGTTCACTGTCTTATTCTGACAAGGCACTTTGCATATTCGCCAAGACAAACTACACGCACCGCTGAACCACACTGCCACACAGACGGCATTCACGTGGGAAGGGTGGGAGAGCCACACACAGGCGTGCTACCTGCCAGGCAAACTCAGTTGGGGACGATCCCAGATTTAAAGAACAGAGTATTCTCCTTCTCAAATAGGTCCACCAAAAGCTTCCTTTAAATAAAACATTTCCATAGAGCATTTGAATAAGATTGTTTTATGAAGTATGTGCTGACTCGTTCTTTTTTGAGTCTATCTACCTAATCTGACCACGGGCCTCTCAACTTCCAAGGGAGGGTCCTTTCCCTTGGGCCTGTGATGGCTCTTTCCTGGTGCAGCCCTATGTTCCTGCCTCTCTTCCTTCGCTCCCCTCTCCTCCTGCCTAAACACAGGCATGCACCAAGAGTGCTTCTTTGGGGACTTATTACACTTTCATTTCTCCTCAGTTGAGTGGGACTATCTCCCACTTCCTTTAATTGTCACTTCGGTGCTGTTAAGAGCTGACAACCACAAGTGCTCATTATGTGCCAACTTCTGTACTCATCTCTAATTTCATCCCCGCAACAGTCCTATGGAGTAGACACTATTATTATCCCCATTTTTATACATGGGAAAACTGAGGTTGCAGTGAGGGTGCGCGGGGCGTAGGGGGGAGGCTGAGGTAACTGCCTGTGGTGCCCAGCTAGTGAAGGGCAGACCTGGGATTTGAACCTGGCCAGTCCACCTCAGAAATTCAGTTGGTAACCGATGACACTTCTGTACTTCATGCAATTCCGTGCGCTCTCTCACCTGGACACCCTTCGCAAGGGGCCGGAGCCGTGTCCACCGACCCCTCAAACCCAGAACGCTGACCACCAGTCATTAGAGAGTGCTTCTTTCTGACGTTTGCACTGGCTGTTTAAACACTGAAATACTTCCAAACCCTGCCACCTGGCACCCTGTCCCCTCCCCGACTGATCCCCTCCAAGACTTCCCCGCATCCAGCAATCCTGGCCCGGTGCTGGGCCCTGAGGGATTGGGGAGTGGGGGTTTCAGGATGCTGTTGGCCTCCTTGGTCCTCACCAGTGCTACCTCCTGTTCACATCGCTTCTGCCTCCTCCTCCTCTTCCTCCTCCTCCTCCTCCTCCTCCTCCTCCTTCTCTCTCCACAAACTAGTTCCTCCTCCTAACTTCCTTATTTCTGGGGCCCGCAACTCATTCTCAGATTCACCTTACACGAGCCCTCCTTTCCTCTTCCCTACTCCTCACCTTCAACTCATGGCCTCGTCCTGTGGCTTTGACTGCTTCCGCCTTTGCAACTCATCCCACCTGTCTCGTCTCTTCCCTCTCCCTGTGGTCTCCACCTGGAACAGACCCCTTCAACCCCCGGCCCAGCTTCCTTGGGCCCTGCTGGACTCTCCCTACTCCCTGCCCCTTCCTCCTCCACATTCTGGAGGCCAGGTATTCAAGGACAAAGCTTCACTTCCTCATGAGAAATCTACCTTTTAATCAAGGTGGTAGTCTTACCCTACCAACACCCTCTCCATTTCAGCACCTTATACAGAGAAGGTATTTCATGAATATGTATTAAATTCAGTCAGCTGATACTCATTTACAAACTTTCCTACCTTATGCAATCCCAACCCTCTCATGAAGGTTACTGCCGGCCCCTTGGCACTCTCAATAGCCTTGCCTCCCTACCCCCTGAGAGCGTGAAAGCGCCAGAGGCAGCCCCTGAGGTCCTCAACAGCTTCCCTTCTGCCCATCTCTTCCCAAGTCCTGGCCAGCTGCCCCCTCTGCCTGACTGCTGAGCATCCAATGCACAGCACTATGGCAGGTGCTGAGGGCGCAGCTGATGGTAACACCCCCACGGAAGCTCATGGTTGGAGCTGGAGGAGAAAGGTATATTCATATGAAGGTCCAGTGGTGACCCACCAACATCCTCTGGCACTGCCATGGGAGACAGACATGCAGACAGCTCTGCTGAGACAGACACTCTTGCTGCACACCACCCTCCTTGAGACACTCGCTGAGCATTTGGTCCACGGAGTCCTGCTCCACTCTTTAACAGCTCAAGGACCTTGAGAATGTTGCTTACCTTCTCTGCCACTCAGTTCCCTCCTCTGTAAAATGGGATAGTAAGTAAGCTACCACCATAAGGTAGTTGTGAGGCTTATGAATCATAGTGGCATTTAGAACAGGCTTTCCACAGACTCTGTGCACAGTAATATTAGCAATTATTGTTTTATTATTTGACATCAAGCATCATAGGAAATTAGAGATGGAAGATAACCTTTGCAAACCATCTCTCAGGATCTCAGATACCTTATGAAAATGTACGCCCAGAAAGTTCTCTCCTGCAGACCATGACCTAGCCAAAGTTTCAACCAGACCTCATTTCTGTCCCATCTCCTAACCACTCCTGCAAGTTTGCATCTGGAACAGCTAGGGGGCTGCCTTACTGTGGTCTGGGTATGAGCTCTGAGGATGGGGGCCACAGCCCTTACCCCATCGCTTGCCCTGTTGGCCTTACAGATCCGCTTTTCTCATTCTGCAACTATTTGCAGAGCACCCCTTGTATGCCCGCCAGTGTAAGGCAGTAGGAGCCAGTGTAAACTTGAAAGCCAGCACAGCTCCTGTCCACAAGGTGCTCACGTGTTTGTAAACCCCAAATTCAAAACCATAAACTAACAAGTGCTAAGAAGGGCCAGAATGTGCACCAGGCGAACAGGTGACAGAGCCTATTAGGTGCTATCAAGAAAGCTTTCCCTGAAGAGGAAGCATCTGGGTGAAGACCTGAAAACTGGCTGTCTCACTTGGGGGGTGGAAGGCAGAGAGACAGGTCTCTCTGCCTTGCTTTTTCCCCGCAATGCCTGGCATGGAATCCAAAAGTCCTGTGTTCTACCTGAACAGGCCTTCCTGCGCAGCCAGCGGTGCAGGCATTCACCCTCTCTGCGAATGAAGCTCCACAGCCCTGCAACCCACAGGTAGGCAGTCTCCCAAGAGAACCTCAAAAACCCCAGGAAAAGGGACTTCACAAGGCAAGGTTTAAACTGCCCCGTGGCCACAACCAGGTTTCGCCACCCAGCTGCCCATGTGAGCGGACGGGGAGCTGTGAAGCTCAATGGAGGGCAAGCAGGGTCCCAAATGAGGAGTTGGAGCCACTCGGCAGCTGCAGTTCAATTTGGAGGTGTGCTGACTTCCTGCTCCCACCTTAAAAGGATGAGGATATTTCCTGTAAGTGAGGGGTACACACTTTTAAGGGGTACCTGGGGAGTAAGAAGACTGGAAAGATGAGGGCGGTAGCAGGCAGACCCGTTGCGTTCTGCTTGGGGTGGTCCTATTGGGCTCGGATGCACCCACCAGCTCATGGGTTCACACACGTCCGCCTCCCTCTGGGCTGGGGCCAAGACCTAGGGAGGGGGCTCAGGAAACAGGGCTAGGGGGTGGGACAAAGCTTCTGCGAGAGAACCCCTCTAGGGTCTGCAGGGGAAAGTCAGAGCTAACGCGGCTCTGACAGGCTGTACGTTTCAGCGGGCCTGGAAAAGACCATCCCCTGGGGGTGACCGCCGCTGTCAGCCTAGCGAAGCTCACCCCAGGTCCCCGACCCCAGGTTCCCCCAAATCCGCTTGCAGAGTCCGAGGCCACCGGCGATTCTCCCCGCCGGGTCATCCTCCCTTTGGGTCCCGGTTTCCTCATCTGTGAGATAAGGGGTGGATGTCCCAACTCTATGCGGCTCAGCTACACCCATCCGCGGGAGTACACGCTGCCGGGGCACGGGCAGCAAAGCGGGGACCCAGGAACCGGACTCCGGCACTGGCGAGCGCGCGGCGGGCTGGGGTCCGCGGCAGAGTGCGAACGCCGGTTCTGCCCCCGAGCAGTGGGACCGTGCGCGAGTGGCGCGGGGCCGCGGGGCCGCCTGCCCAGACAGTCCCCAGCCCGGCGACCGACCGCCTGCCCCGCAGACTTACCCAGAAGTTCCCCTTGAACAGTGAGCCCGTCATGGTCGGCGCTTCGGCGGGTGAGCAAGAGAGCGGAGCAGTGAGGGGAGGCCTGGCGGTGACTGTCCGCAGTGAATCCCCAGTCTCACCGCCCTCAGGTCCACCCCGGGCCCTAAGCCACGCCCGTAACGCCCTGCGCGTCCGCGCTCCGCCTCCCGCCCGGCCGGGACCCGAAGTCCCGATCCAGACCGACTGGAGTCCCCGCCGTGCCAAGCCACAGTCAATGAGCTAAGCCTCAACGCCCCCCTGCCTCAGGAAGCCTCGGCTGATTGGAAGGATGGTCCAGGAGCCGGCCGGAATTAGGCTCCGTTCCTGCCCACAAGCCCCCTCCTCCCTCGACCGACTTCCCTCGCAGAGAGGTCAGGCTCCGCGGTGAGGTCGGAGACGCCGCCAGAGCAGAGGGTGACGGCGTGGACCAAGGATCAGCCCTGTAAAGCCTGGGGCTGACAGTGTCCACGGTCGTGTGACGGGGGGCGGGGGGATGCTTCGGCGAGTCGTGTTCAGCACGCGAGCTGCAGACTAACCCACCCTTCAGGCAAGTTTTAGTCTCAAAGTCATGGGAAGGTTGTTTTTACTCCCTCCTCCCCTTGAATCTAGGCCCCTTGGGGGGCCCGTACAGGGCGTCCAGGAACCCAGCGCCTCCCCAACCCTTTCCCATTCTCAAGATTCAAGACTGTCTCCACCCATCTTACTCCAGCAGCAGGAGCCCAGAGCTTCCTTCCTCTTCCTCCACCCTCATAACACCTTCATGAATACAGTCCCAGGGCAAGTCGGACCCACCCCTGCTCTGCAGTAATGGGGCGCTCCAGGTCGAAGTACTGCCCTGTGCTCTGAGTCAAAACCGAAGACCAGAGTTGAGTACCCGGAGATCACAGCGTATTTTAAAGGGACGGAGAGCTCGGTTAGAGCACTGCCCTTCTAAAGAGCCGAAGATACGCGTCACTCCTGGGGCAGATCTACTCAACGAGGAGCGGATGCAGGTCAAGCGTACCAAGACTGAGTGCGCAACTCCAAACCAGCAGAGGCAAGCGTTTGCCTCTTGAGCAGGTTCTAGCTCTGTCCAGACTGAAAGAGCAATGGCTGGAATGACTTGAAGGACAGCTCCAATGTTCTGCTTAGTAACGCCACCCCCGGCCCCACATCTGCAAGGACGCAGAGGTGACCTCCGGCCCTGGGTGACTTCAGGGGCATGCATCTTCTCATTTAGTCGTTCATCTCTTTGGATAGCAATTAGGTTAGAAGTAAGGGAAGTCTGGCAGCACCGTCAGAAGGCAGCAGAGACGTGGAGGGCACCAGGAAGACAGGCTGAACCTCAGGAGGGGTAAGACATAGTGCAAACTATGGAGATAAAAGAAGCTGAAGGACCGAGACTTTTCCTGGAAGTTTTGAAGATTTTGGAACAAGTATTTTAGACTCAATCCCAATTGTCTAAGTTTTAATTTTTAATACTTATATTTTTTTTAAGCCTTGTAAAGTCTTACAAACTTTCATGGTACATTGTGCTTGACTTTCGAGGCTCGTGTCATTTTAACACTCTTCCACCTCCTGGTGGCAAGATTGTAAATTGCAAATGTTTGTCAAAGCTGCTGGAAAATACTCATTTCTCATTTATTAAGCTCATCACCTGGCCAGGTATTTTAAGTAAAAAGACAAGTAAAATATGTACTGTATTCAAGGGTCTATGACAAATCTGGGACATTTTACTAAGTTAAATTAGCACTATTATGGCAATTATGAAATAGTGAAATTTAATGGCCAGCACATTTAAGATAACCTGTTAATATTTTGGCATATTCCCTTCCAGTAATATACACTTGCATGGTTATTACTGTACATAAAATTGAGTCACGCTTTTTTAACTTAACATTTCATAAGTCTTTAAATGAATCTTTCCTAACAAAAAGCTTGATAGTGCTGACCAAAACAGACTCTTGCATATAAAATTAATCTTTGTGAAATTTGGCCATCCACCTATCTTTTGACCTAACAGTTCTATGTTGAAGAATTCACCCTCCAAATATATTCCCCTATGTGCAAAGTGAAATATGTACGCAGTTATCCATAGCAGCTTCAGTTATCCATGAAGGGCATGAAGTAATTCTTCATGGAATTACTTCAGTATGTTGTGATATCTTGACAATGAAATCATACTAAAGCATAAAAATATAAGGATGCTGTGTGTTGATAAGGAACAATCATCAAATATATTTGGATGAGGTGATGGGGCTGAGGGACAAAGAAGGGAGACTTTTCACTTCATGCCCTTTTAGGCCTCGGAATTTGTACCAGGTGAAATTTATTACAAATCCCAAGTAATTTAAATAAAAACCTACAATATCATTTTAACCTTTGCATAATTTCCCATCAAGTGGATACAGATACTTTCTTAGTATTTCCCTAATGCTTTCAGAAATATTACTATGGTAAGTATCTTTTATATAAATCTTTGTTAGTTCCTCATGGTGGAATTATAGGTCAAAGAATATAAACATTTTATTAAATACTTTTTTAAAAGATTGTGTTTATTTCTAGAGAGAGGGAAGAGAGGGAGAATGAGAAGGAAACATCAACGTCTGGTTGCCCCCTCACATGCCACACTACGGGGGACCTGGCCCACAACCCAAGCATGTGCCCTGACTGGGAATCCAACTAGCAACCCTTTGCTTTGAAGTTGGGCACTCAGTCCACTAAGCCACACAAGCCAGGGTAGAATATAAAAATTTTTAAGGTTCTTGAAATGTTGCCAAATTGCTTTCTAGAAACATTGTATCCATCTATATTCTCAGCAATAGAGGGAAAGGGTTTCCCCAGAGGTATTTAGGCATCTTTTCACTGAAATGAACAGGTGTTGGGTAGCAAAAATAACACCCACTAAAATCATATTTTCTCTTGTGCTTTCCAAAACCTGGTACCTACATTCCTCTTCCTCCCTCTGCCAATCCAACCTCTTATCAGTACTCTTAATCTTTCACCCTTGAACGCTTTCTTCATGCCTCTCTCCTCACAAAGCCACCAACTTCCTCTAAGTCTCAAAAGCCTCCGCCTGACCTTCAAAAGACCTTCCCAGTCTGGCCCCAGCTAGACTGTCCCCACCCACCCCACCCCCATGCCAGTCTGGCTTTTCTGTCCTGCCATCCCACCCAAGTTCATGCTTTCCAGGCTACCTGGGTCATGCTTCCTCCTGCTCAAGTTCCACCTCATGACCATTCCCCACACCTACTCCAGCCCTGCATCTTCCTGCTGCTTAAAAATTCTAGAACTTGTCAACTTTATCACACAAACTAGCCCTTAATACGACATACCCTTACTCTCTTCTGTAATTTTTCTTCTTGGATATGTTACCTCCCCAAGAAAATTGCAAAACACCTCAAGAAAGGTATTTTCTCATGTATTCTCATGGATTATACAACAATGGAGCCAACCAGAGAACTCAATAAACTCTCCAATCCCTAAGAGCAATACCAATTTTTACTTCAGTTCCCCTAGTCTGATCCTCCCTTCCAGGAAGTAGGGGTAAATATGGCAAGGGATACCAACCAACCAGCTAGAGCCAGATGGGATGCCAGGACCAGGAACTGGCCAAGCAGTGGCTGTGGTCTGAAAACACCAGAGGGCAAGAAAGGAACAAGCTGTTATTAAAATTGCCAATCAGCCCTGATCACGATGGCTCAGTGGGTTGAGCTTCATTCACCCTGCAAACCAAAAGGCTGCCAGTTTCATTCCCAGTCAGGGAACATGCCTAGGTGGTGGGCCCTGTGCTCTGCCTGCATTAGGGTGCAGGCACAGGGCAGAAGGCAACCAATCGATGTTTCTCCCTCCTTTTCTCCCTCCCTTCCCCTCTAAAACTTTGCAAGTATTTAAAAAAAATAAATGTACCAATCAATGTCAAAAAGTGGAGACTGGATTTTGTCACTAAGGGTAGAAGCTGAGCAGACTGAGGAGGAATGGAGCAGAGGGTCAGGAGAGGACAGGAATACAATACACAGGAAAAACATTCAGAAGGAGGCTTCGGTGCCAGATTAGTTGTGGTAAAGAGGTCTACCCTAAATCAAAACAAGAATTATGAGTACCATCAAAATCTGAATTTTCACAAGTGTAAGTGAAGACCAACTTCTGTAAAGATGGAAAAACTTGGGTATCTATTGTCTACTGTATATTAGGGGCTTTATTTTTTTTAATCAAAAGCCACTAAGAAAGTGAATGGCAAGCCACAGAAAAGGAAATTTATGATACATCTGTCCTACAAAGGACTCATATCCAATATACAGAGAACTTGTAAAAGAAAACCAGGATAGCGCTGGCCAGCTAGGTCAGTTGATTAAAAGCATCATCTCATTATACCAAGATTGTGATTCCCAGTAGTAGCACATACAAGAACCAACTAATGAATACATAAGTAGGTAGAACAAATCTGTGTTTCTCTTAAAAAACCAAGAGTGTTTCTAGGACTGGAGCAGGAAAATATGTAAGGTAAGCCTGGAGCATCCTTTAGTTCCAGAAAACACACTTACGCACACAAAACTGGGACATATCAAAAGAACACAGGAGCCAACTGAAAGAGCCCACAATGGCCAAAACTGGAACAATCTGAGTAACACAATATTGGATCTGACTTGAGATCCTAATCAAATTCAAAATGTAAGATGTTCTAAAGGACTAGTTGCCTCTTCAAACATACTATAAAAAGATGAGTCAAATATTCTAGATTTAAAGAATGTTCCAAATAGACAAAGCAGACAATATGTACTTTACTTGGGTTCTGGTTTTAAAAAAAAACTACTATAAAAGATACTTGAAATACTGAGGAAATTTCGCTATGGATTGCGCATTCCACTTTCTCAGACATTCCCCATTCCCCAGTGATAGGCTATGCAAACATTTTGAGTCATCTGGCTGGCACAAAGGAGGGCCATTAGGCAAAGTATTTAGGTGTACCTGGTGAGGACAGCCTGGTACCTGTGAGGTCTATTTCACTAGTCTGTGATTAATTAAATTTTTTTTGAATCTCAGAATTTGTTTCTCCTGGTTCATTGCTACACTAGATGGGCTGGGCTCTGGCTCAGCAAGACTACAAGGGACAG